TTTAAATTTTAAATTAAAGTTAAAATTTTTATATTTAAATTAAAACTTTTATTTTTTTTTTAATTAAGAGTAGTACGCATCAAATTCATATTTCTATATATTTAAAAAAAACTCTTTCTATGATGTTCCATTGCCAGACAGTGGAAATGAATGCTGTTTCAGTGGGACACTGCCTTTTTCTCTGTTCCAACCTTAGCATATTGTGATTTTTTTTTTTTTAATTAACTCCAAATGAAAATCTAAACCCTTTCTTCTTGCTAATCGTCTCTTTCAAGTTAGCTTCTTTCTGCCACAATCAAAGCTTTTGGATTTCCTCTCTTCGGGGTATGTTCCCTTCCTTTTTGTAAGTATATTGGGTAATTATTTAATCTTAAAATCATTTTCAGCTGCTTTTTCTGTATTTTTTTTTGGGTTTTCTTTTGATGAATGATTCTAACTGGATGTTTTTGATCGAACCCAGATCCTGGTATCATCGGCTTTGTTAAGTTCAGTTGTTGATTTGGGGGAATGGAGGATGGGTTGGTAACTAGGGGGACGGAGAGATGACGAGGGTTCTGGTGTGTATATGTAATGTGTGAAGTTGCTACTGATTTTGTGTTTCTTTTCGTTTATTTTTAGTATATGGGTCCTTAAATTTAAGTCAAAGGGTGTGGATTTGTGTTCTTTAATTGTACAGGGGTTGGGAAAATTTTCGAATTTTTTTTTGTGAGGTGATATATCGAAGCAATGGTCTTTGTTTTGGCAGATGCTTTTGGAGTTTGTTTGATTTTTTATCCAGAAGTGGGTTTCTGTATCTGGGATTTAACGGGATAGGATTGGGTCTGTTTGTTTTTGGCAAGTAAACAACAATAGGCATCTGGGTTATCATCTCTGATTCTGATTCTGGGGTTCTCTTTATGGACTGGGTTTTTTGAGATTGATTAGATTACAGTCAGGTTCTGCAGGGATTTTCGTATTAAGTTGGAATTGCTGAGATATGATCAAGCAGATATTTGGCAGGCTTCCCCGGAAGCCATCTAAGTCTTCTGAGAATCGTGAATTTGGGGGTTCATCTACCCTTTCTTTGAGTAATTCAGCTAATTCGAGAAGCAGTGAACTTTTGAGTGGTAGGCTGGTAAACTTGGACGGTACAACACTTTCAGGGCCTAATTCCACTTCAAATTCAGCATATAGCCGTGGAAATAAACTTCCTCAAGCTGTAAATCAACTCAATGGCAATTCAGTGGCTGCTCCATATGAAGCATTACCTGGATTTAGGGATGTCCCTAGCTCAGAGAAGCAGAACCTGTTTATTAAAAAGCTGCACTTGTGTTGTGTTGTGTTTGATTTCACTGACCCAACAAAGAACTTGAAAGAAAAGGAAATCAAGCGGCAGACGTTGCTTGAGCTTGTGGATTATGTTTCTTCTGCAAGTGGAAAATTCACAGAAACTGTTATGCAGGAAGCTATAAAGATGGTGTCTGTGAACTTGTTCAGGTCACTGACTGCACAACCTCGAGAGAACAAGGTTTTGGAAGCCTTTGATTTGGAAGAGGAGGAGCCCTCGATGGATCCTGCATGGGCTCACTTGCAATATGTATATGAGTTCCTCCTGAGGTTTGTTGCATCTCCTGAGACAGATGCAAAGTTGGCTAAGAGGTATATAGATCATTCTTTTGTTCTCAAGTTGTTAGATCTCTTTGATTCTGAGGATCCCAGGGAGAGAGAGTATCTAAAAACAATTCTGCATCGCATTTATGGCAAGTTTATGGTGCATCGGCCATTTATCAGGAAAGCTGTTAATAACATTTTCTTTCGTTTTATTTTTGAAACGGAGAAGCATAATGGGATTGGTGAGCTTTTAGAGGTTTTGGGCAGCATTATCAATGGATTTGCTTTGCCTCTGAAAGAAGAGCATAAATTATTCCTTGTTCGGGCGCTAATCCCCCTTCACAAACCAAAATGCTTACCAATGTACCACCAGCAATTATCATACTGCGTTACTCAATTTGTTGAGAAAGATTGCAAGCTTGCAGATGCAGTTATACGGGGATTGTTGAGGTATTGGCCAATTACAAACAGTTCAAAGGAAGTCATGTTCCTCAGTGAACTGGAAGAGATTTTGGAAGCAACTCAACCTCCAGAATTTCAGAGATGCATGATTCCTTTGTTCCGCCAAATCGCTCGTTGCCTGAGCAGTTCACATTTTCAGGTAATAAGCAGCATGAGTCTTCATCTAGTTATCTAATGGTTTCAGCATCCCTTGTCTATCTGCTTATCTTCTGGTTCTGGCTAAATGCACTTAAGACTTTCCCAAATACCCTGCCCTTGACTGCCTTTTTAATTATTGTTACTATTATTATTATTATTATTTTCTTCTTTTTTTATTTGGTTTTTTTTTTTTTTTTTTTTTTTTTTTTTTTTTTTTTTTTTTTTTTTTTTTTTTTTGGGGGGGGAGGGGGTTGGGATGGGTGCCTTCGTCTTTCTTCTGTGTTATCTCTTTTGTTTTGTTATATATTGTGTTGAGTGTAGTCCTATTTGACTGAATTTTGTGTCTGGCCTGAAAATTTTTATCTTTTCTAAAAATTTGCTTTGGATCATCATTTGATTGAGTTTATTTTATTGATCACTTCTTAGGTGATGAGATTTTGACTGTTAGTGAGCAATTTAGGAGTCCATCAACACCAGGATATTCTATCTTTGCCACTCTCTGTTGTTGAATACTGCATCCACGATTTTACTTAACTGTTTTCATGAATGCAAGGGTTTATACTAAAATGAAGAGAAATATATGTTGATTGAAAATGGCATACGCTAAAGTCATGCAGAAGTAAATATGTTGTTGAGCTGGGCCGACCATCAATTTAGTGAGTCGTTTCACAAATGCATGAGCTTATACTGAAATAAGGTAGAAATAAGTGTTGTTTGAGGAGTGGCTGGTCTTCTCTGGATGATGTTAGTTGTAGATATAAGTCAATATTTTATATTTGTAACCAATCCATTTGCATGCTCATGTTCCGTACTAGAGAGTCCCAAGTATCTATTTATTCTATCTTGTTCTGGCCACCTATTATCCTGATGGAAATTAGCTGATTCAGGTATTGCTAGTTTTGAAGTGATACTGTTTTGTTATTTCTCCTGGCAGGCCTTTTCTTTTTTCCTTGTGGAGTATCTCAGTAGTTCTTTCATACATTTTAGATCTTATTGATTGCTTGCCTTACAATTATCACATGTGCCCTATGCTTCCGATGTGCATTAGTTGTTCAGGACACGCTACAAGATATAACAATGCATAGTACAAGTCTACAAGATTCTATTTTCAATTGCTTATTGGTTGCAGAAAGATCTGCTAGTAATGGTTATTAAAAGGTCAAGTTACATCTGTGCTGGCACTGTGGATGTGATTGTTAAATGTTAGGAGGCCTTGCAATTCTCGAAGGTGTGGAAATGGTTTTCTTTGCCAGTAATAGATTATCATGCATGGACTTCATGGGGTAGCTCAAGTGGTAAGATAGTGGCTCCTTAGCATGTGTTTGAGCCAGCCCTCTGCCATATTGAGATAAAACCCTTGACTTGCCTGGTACAGTGGTTGTGGATCTGGTAAGAAAATGCAATGATGTGGTTATGTTGTGTCCAAATTCACATGGAAGATCAGCATGCCATATGGTCATACGATAATAGTTTTTTTTATCTGCCATGATAAAGATCTAAGTTTGCAGTACTTTGTTCAATACACAAGTTTCTTTATACTTCTGACAATTAAGTGTGAGAACTATTTGATTGCCTTCATCATTATCATAAACAGAAAATTCTTATTTCTGTAATTTTCTATCAGTGAATTTTCCTGAATGAGTTCTGTTCTGTGGTTGCATGATATGGTCTCAATATAATCTTATTTTGCCTTTGCTGAAATATTTAGTTAGACATGCTATTTTTTTCCTGTTATCACAGGTGGCAGAGAGGGCCTTGTACTTGTGGAATAATGATCACATCGAGAACTTAATCAGACAAAACCGCAGGGTAATACTGCCGATTATCTTCCCTGCCTTGGAGAAGAATGGCTGTAACCACTGGAATCAAGTGGTCCAGAGCTTGACACTTAATGTTCGAAAGTTCTTTTCTGATATTGATCCTGAACTATTTGAGGAGTGCTTGCACAAGTTTCAAGAAGACGAAGCAAAACTGGAAGAGATTAAAACAAAACATGAAGCCACCTGGAAGCGCTTAGAAGAGCTTGCAGCATCAAAGGCTGCAAGTGGTCAAGCGGCTCTCGTTCCTCACATATCCCCTCCCAAACATCTCCAGCATGGTGATGGAGGGATCTTACTTGTCTAATCAAAATATTTGGATCTTTTGGCTGGTGCCATAGTCAGAAGATGTTCAATGTGCTTTGAGATGTTGAATACTAGTGAAATGCTGCCTGTTGCACCCATAGCTTGAGCAGTTTGCCTTCTGGTATTCTCACACAATGAGTAGAAGTTTGCAGCTGCATTCTACCTTAGGATAGAAGAGTCGTAATTAGTAATTTTGGCCCTCCTATAGCTTCTGTTTTAGAGAACTACATGAAGGAGCTACAAAACACAGGTAATTTTACGCACCCAGTCTTGATTTCATTTCTTCTTGTGTACTTATTCAACTGGTTCATCTTATTTGTTATGCCTATGTATCATATATTTTGCTTACATTTTCTTTTTAAAGCAAACATTTAATATGAATATTTGTTCAATTTGAATGTGGGGGGATGAAATGTTATTTGCTTTACCACAATGGGTAATTGCTTCTTTCCCTTTCATAGTCTCATGTGATCAACGTAAATGTTGGATCAGTCTAGTCTCTAGAAACTTTTGCTGCCTTGTGAAATTAATATGAACTATTCCAGTCATGTATGGAGTTGAATATTTGAGAACTATGTTGTAGTGACAGTTGCAGCTACTCCATCTCTGCCTCGAAATAATGTTAAACACTGTAAATCTAACTTGTTAGCTTCATAAGCTAGCCTGGGTGGAATTTATTAGTTTAAAACTTCCTCTTTCTTAGGTGCTCTTTAATGGCTGGTTATAGCTTAGCTAGGACGGTTAGTTAGCCTATCCAGCAGGAGAAGGGTGGATGATTAACTTAACTTTTAGGTTAGGTGCTCATTAGTGGCTCTCTACTGTTAGCTAGGGCTGTTAGTAAGCCTCGACTCAGCTTTCATAGGGAACTGTTTGGTCATTGGTGACAAACGTTTCCATTAAAACCTAGGGATGGCAACGGGGCCTGTGGGGGCGAGGGGAGGACCCCGTCCCCGTGAATTCCTGCAGGAATTTCTGGCGCATGTTGGGGAAAAGTAAAAAAATTGCCCCGTCCCCATTACGCAAGGGTCCCCGGCAAACAGTATGAAACAGACCCCTGCATGCTCACCAGACAACTCTTACAGGCAGTGACCTTTTAGCTGGAGATATTAGCAGTAGATATCAATGACGTGTTGACCCGAGTGGAAGGAGTTCGGTTCTCTTTAAGTCAAGTCTTGAGTTTAAATCTTATGAATAGAGAGATAAGTGTTGGACAGTTGGAGAACTTTCTTCAAATGAAGCACAACGTGGTTTGATTTCAGATTAGTCGGGATCTATCAGGGTTACTGAAAGGTTAGTACAAAAAAGAAAGTACTAGCAGACATCATGCAGTAATATATGGAGTAACGGAGCAGAAACATGCAATTCAAGGAAACGGATTTGTGCGCTCGGGCCATAATTAGCCCTAATGCTTTATTTCTTTTTAAAAAAAATAGAAAAAAATAAAAGCACTTCATCTCTGTATGGTAAACCCTCTATCATTGGTACTGTATACCTTTTCTTTCCAATTTTTTTTTAGGAGCATCTGATATTAGTCCTCCACGACATCAAACATGAAGATTAATATCCAAGTGATCTCCAAACAGTAGATTATGCCATCTTCTCCGACTCCAAATTCAGCTTCCAATTCTCATGCATTGTATGGTTTATAATAAGATATAAAAAAATTATGTTAAATTTTTAATTAATAAAATCTACTACTTTTGGTTTATTTATTTATTTTTTGTTATAATTCACATTTTTAGGTGTTGTTATTTTATAGTATATGAATAATAATATATAGAATAATGGTTAACCTATACCCTTGAGGCCTTGGGCTATAAATTTATATTAAAAAAATAAAATTTAATTATTACTTTATTAATTATTTAATTAAATTTATTTCTATAGCATTGGTATTAAAATTAATGTTGCCCTTAGAAAAGCTCACGGAAGAAATCATGCAGTTTGCAAAAACTTCATGGGGGACTAAAACAAGGGCCATAAAAATAAACTTGAGGGATTAATAAGGAAATATTTTTACTTGGGAGACCAAAATGGGCACCATAATAAAAATAGGGTTTTAACCGGTAAACATTTATTTTTTATCTTGTGCAATAAAAAATAATCTTTTTTATTCTTTAATCTTCCCTACCCATATACTATACAACCTGATGTCATAATCTTTATTATTATTATTATTATTTAAAAAAAATATTATTAAATTAGTTATATTATTTGTTGATTTTAACCAACAAATTATGAAGGAATAATATAGCATGACTGCATTCTTTTGTTGTGGTTCATTGGTGGTTACTGCAGCTCAACAGGGCTGTCGGTGGATTGCACTCCT